GATGAACGACTTAGCACCAGAGCTGAGCAGGAGGAAGCGAGCGGCTTGGGGAGCCTTCAAGAACATCGAGGGAGTAGCGAAGAAGACGAAGAACACCAAGCTCCGTGCCCACCTCTTCGATTCCGCGGTCCTTCCTGCCTTGACGTACGCCTCAGAGACTTGGACTCGAAAGCAGGATGAGCATGCGGTTCGGCGTTATTCAACGCGCCATCGAAAGGGCGATGCTCGGAGTTTCCCGGCTACACGCAAAGTCGCGGAGCTTCGCAGCTCCGGCCGACGATCGAAGATGCAGAGACGCGCGTCCGTTTTTGCCTACAGGTTTCGAAGATTAATGGCGGGGCTACGTCATGCGTTTCGAGGACGACCGCTGGACCAGAGCAGTCACCGACTGGATTCCACGGGATGTCAAGCGAACGCCTGGACGACCGCCTATGCGATGGTCAGACTTCTTCGTGAAAGCTCTGAACGAATGGTATGAAGTTCATCGTGTCCCTCGAGGCAGGCTGAGTCCATTGGGTAAACCTTCGTGGCACGTTGCAGGGCGCCGATATAAAGGCGTTTGCTGGCGCCCGGGCTCGAGGAATCTCGATGATGCAATCGGGAGGCACAGGTGACAGGTGAGGTGAAAGAATAAAAATTACACGGGCAAAACGTGCAGCAAAATCGAACAATCAGAAAAATTGAACAAAGGGACAAAGGGCCGAAATGCAAACCAGCTTTTCAAAGGAGGAAGGGATTCTGGGCAGGACCCACATCTGCGAGGTGGTTGCAGGTGGTTTTATTGGAGCGTGGATTTTCAGGAAAGTGGGGTGTTAGGGTGTCTTTAAAGGGCGATAAACTTGCTTTACATAGGGCGTGACCTGTGGGAAAGAAAAAGAACGGCAGTCGATGGAGAAACAATTTGAGCTTTCCAAACATAACTGAAATGTTCATTAGTCGGCCAAAATGGCATAGAGAACATTTGCGTTGGGCCAATTTTTTTAAGGGGTTTTTTTTGGACTATCTTTGCAGCGCGAGTTCCCAGTTTGAACCAAGATATTTCCCTTGAGACCGTCACAGTTTGGAATCTGAAACTACTGTCGAGTTTTTAGAAAGATTTTTTCTTTCAAAAACTACTTAAAATTTTTTTGAAGCTCCCGGGAGTAGATAATCGCGTTGGGGATGGATTGGGGAACACTCCGAACTGTTCGAAAGTCCGTTTTCTGTGTACGGTTTCGAGCGAACGTGTTCGAAATAGGCCAGAAATAAGCAATAACGGTCCGATGCAGGTTTATCCTTTCATCAATTATTCTTGAAGGCTATGCCTCATTAGCATGCGGTGATTTGATGAACTTTCGGACCGGTGGTCGCAAACCCTACGTCTTTTTCTCCTTTCTCAACTACATTCTTTCCTCAGTTTGATTCTGAATTCTACAACACTTACTACAATGTCTTCAAAATATTTTATTAGTAAACAAGAACTTCAAATACAGTTATTCATAATAAAACCTTTTTCATTCTAATAATTCCTGCAGACGTTTGAAACTTTCAATTCTTGCACATTTTGAAACACAAGTTATTTCTTGGTATCATGATTTCCGTCAGGTGAAATTTCTTCAGAGCCATTCTGCTAACTTCGAAGGTACCGCTTCAGGAATTTCACTGCCTCTCTTTCTACCATGATGTATAACAAGAGGGAATCAGACAAGTATATCCATATCATATCTGATTCCCTCTTGCTTGAACGTATAATCCCACGGTACTACACAGTTGTAACTTGGAAATTCCGAGCTGGAACCATTACGAATAGATATGTAACAACCTTTGATAAGAATCTCAGGGGAAATAAGACAGTAAGTTCGTATTTTTTCCGCAAATATAAACTAAACTACTTCTTATAAAGTTACATATACAACTTTAACAATATAAATGATTATTACCGTTAAATTTCTTTGATCACGTAACTTTCACGGTTTGTTCACGGAAACAATTTGACGATCTTGTTCCGTTTTGCCTTATGGAAATCCGCCAAAGTTTTTTTTCGGCTCCTTTTATGCAAGAAACCACTTCCAAATAAGCAAAGACATCTCCGCCTTAACAAAAAATTTTTGCAATGCAAAGCAATTTATTACACTTCGGATACATAATACCTTGATGTTCATGCTATCTGTATTTCCACCTATGAATTGCACCCAAGAGAATGGTTTGGGATCTTCACTGTTCTGGTACCTATAATAATAAATCTGCTTCTATAAAGCAACTTCTAATAATAATTTTTCTTAATAAATACTAATAACCCTACTTTACAACTTTTGATAAGAAGAATTCCTTAACATCCTCTAAGGAAGACTGTCCTTGTTCGGAATCGCTATTACTCTAACCCATTTTGATACCACACACCGATTCACTTCCTCCTGGTGGTTTTCCATCCGGGTTTTTTGATCGGTGTTTGAGTAATCGAAACCGATTGACTGAATAAGAGTTCTTATTCAAACAGGTACTACAGTCACAGATCTTCAACCCTACAAAAACAATAATTATTCGGCCTCTAATAATTCAAAAACACAAGTCAGAACGAAGTCGGTAATCAATAGTACTCACTGTGGTCATATTGAAGACATATGATGAAAAGAACCAATAACAACGACCTAAAAATACACATCTTAAGATTTTATAGTTGTACTAAAACTTGTTATGCAGATGGGCTTATATTCATACTTTGTTCAATTCTCCTTTAACAAATTTGTATACAGCCGAGACAATATAGCAATTCTAGTAAAATACCATACGAAAGGCTGAAATCTTATCGAAACTAATTATATATATTTGTTATGGAAAACAGTCAGTGCAAAACTAGCATACTATGGAAGTTACTTACCTCGCTTGAACCCTTTCACTTCAAATAGTTGTTCACAAAAGAAAAATACTGCGTTCTCAATAGGAAAGAGAACTATAGAACAACAATTTGCAAAATTATCTATAAGTAAATTTAATAGACACACATTTTAAAGTTAATTTTTCAATAGAATAAGCAGACTTACCACACGTTCCCGCGAAGCTATCGGTAATGCACCACTATTTAGAGTATCCACCAATTAATGCTTAATGTATAACCTAAAAATAGGATTCAATGAAATGTAGCACGCACAGCATGATATAGATGAATACGGCATGTTTATTAAGTTAATGATAATACGTGGAAACTTGAGTAAGTAGCTATGTTTGCCAGAGACCTTTAATTATCAGCGGATGATTTTTAGGATAGTACATCAATATTTTCGTAAAAACAAGCATCTAGAACATTACATGTGTTTACTAGGTACTACATGTATAGGAATCAACATAAATTGCTAATCTGACAATGTTCTCGATCTACTTCTCTTTTACTCACATATGAACGTGATAAGACGCACTAGGCACAGGGCGGGACCCCCCGCCCCAACCCTAGAGACAGGCACAGAATATAACAAAACGAACCAAGACTTCAGTACTGTATATGGAAGTATGATTGTGTAATTACATATATTTTTTCAACGCGACGTATTTTTCTTGCAATATCCTATGACTATCGAATGATAAGATGGAATATGAAATGTACTTCGATGACTGCTATGTGCTACATATATAGGTATCGACAAAAAAGCGACTCTATCGCTGTTCCCTTTTTCCTTCCCTCTGGTTCAGACAAGAACGTTGCTAATAAGCATTGAGCGCAAGACAGAACAAAACTAACGAAGATTTCAGTACTGTATATATTATTGTGTGTTTGCGTATGATTCTAGACGCGACGTAGTTCATTTGCAATAACCTATGGCTATTGATTGTTGAAGCTAGAATATGATATGTACATCAATGACTGCTGGGTATATAACCTCTATAGAGAATCCAATCCATATATAGAAGAGTTTTTGAACTGATTCCTATTAGAACTTGAAGCACACAGCATGTAATAGAGAAGAAAGGGAAGTTGTCAAAAATTTTTCGCTGGTACGTGTTTAGCTGAGATGGTGCCAATACAAGAAATCTTCCCTCTGGATCAATATAAATGTTTGCACTGTACCACGTAAATAGGTATCAACATAATAGCGACTTGGTTAGTATTTTCTTGTTCCCTCCCTCTTGCTCACATATGAAAGTGGCTAAGACGCATCGAGAGCAAGACAAAACGAAACGAACAAATACGTCAGTACTGTAAATGGAAGTATATTGTGCATTTGCGTATGATTCTATGCGCAACGTAGTTCATTTGCAATAACCTATGACTATTCATTGTTGAATCTAGAATATGAAATGTACATTAATGACTGCTGGGTATATAACCTCTATAGAGAATCCTATTCATATATAGAATAGTTGTTGAACTGCTTCCTATTGGAACTTGAAGCACACAGCTTGTAATAGAGAAGAGAGGGAAGTTGTCAAATTTTTCGCTGGTACATGTTTAGATGAGAAGGTGCTAACACATGAAATCTTCCCTCTGGATCAATATAAATGTTTTACACTGTGCCACATCAACGGTGAGGCTGGCTCTAATTGTAAGATACTGTGGCAGAAATAAAGTCCCCATAAAAAATGGTACCACAGGGCTGGGAGCGCATGGCGCATATTTGAAAGAGATGAGTCCGTACCTTCTCTTGGCACGTAGAGTTCTGATGAGATTTGTAAGCTGAAGGATGAGAATGAAGTCTCACCGCTGGTCAAACCCCGCATTGAGATGCGAACGCATTCTGCTTCCATTCTAAATTGTTAAGGCTCATTGAAAGCAATGTGGCCTATGCAATGACTGCGGGGAAGGAGGGAAGGGGAGGGGCGGAGCAGCCAAACTACAAGACAGTGTTCTTGTCCTCTTCTACACAAATCTGTTACCGATTTACGATCACAGAAGAGTAGGTTGGCTTGTACAGGATCCGAGTTCTGATCCGCAAACCGCGCGCGTGTTGAGCGCGCGCTTCTACTCACTAAGTGAGAAGCAACCTCAACGAGTGTTTTCTTCAACTCATTTGTTTTCATTTCGGAATCGGATGCAAGAATCGCTTCAATTATTCCGTCAAGTAATCAACAACTACTTTGTGAATACCTCTGTTATACTCTTCCTTAACAAGAAAGATCTTTTCGAAAAGAAAATAGGACATGGGAAGTCGTTACGGATCGCATTTCCCAACTACAAAGGTCAGCTCTCGCAATCACCTGTTATAACTGTTTAAGTGATCATATAGTTTTCCCTCATCAGCGCGCTCCTCTTTCTGACCTCTCTGGAAGATGTGCGCGCCGTTGAGACGGGAGCTTTCTGTCCCGCGCACGCAATAAGCATAGACTAGTATGCTTTTGAAGACGGTATTTTTGCAACCGCGTCTGCATTGGAGATGTTAAAGAGACGTTTTCAGGAGGAGAAAACTACGACGAAGCTTCGAAATACATTGAGGCACAATTCATGGCCGCGAACGAAAATCGTGAAAAGTCTATCTACACCCACCTCACCTGCGCCACCGACACTCAACAAGTGCAATTCGTTCTTGATAGCGTCTTGGACACGATACTGTCGTCGAAACGTAAAGGATGTGGGCTTTATAAGTAACGATCCTGTCTGTGGAACGCTGGGATGTTCCTCTTCTACGGGGTCAAATCAAGGCCTTTAAGGCGAGGAACTGAGATCGATTTGTCACTTATCTTCACTACCGCGAAACCTTAGCAGACTTAGGGACCTCGTTCAGTGACGTAAGTTTCAAGCGGGCCTCCTTATGCAGTGCATCGGGTGTAATGAGCAGCAATGACACGGCTACGGAAAGAAATTCTAGGCGCTTGCTCAAAAATTCTTCCAAAAGGCACTTTTTTGCCTTTGTCGATGGCTCTTCCACTGTAATCGAGTCTCGAGCGTCTAGGAATATTGTCCAATACACTGTGTTAAACGTTACCCCTCAGTCGCGGAGAAGTAGATGTTGCAAGCGATAACGTGCACTGCACCTGCTCTGTCCCACTTTCGCGGTTTCACAGGAAGTAACCAAGGCTCTACGACTCTCGTAAGTGGCGGTTCCGACGTTTCCCTAGTTGCCCCGCCCACCAATTTCAGAGGCTCCTGCCACGAGCTCAGTTTTTACACCGTGGCTTTCGTTTTTTTCACTTTTAGATGATGTTAGCATCGGATGACGCAAAAAAACGATTAGTGAGTGGTTTTTTTAACATGATGATCGTGGTGACAGAACTCTGTCTAACAACTCAACCCGCTGCGATAGCGCGACTTTGAGGTAACGCGCCACATCTCAGAATTCACAGGTATTTTATTATTTCGTATCCTGTGGTGGAGCAGGAGCAGGATGTGGTTTGTTTAGCGCCAATCATGCTAACTTTGGATGCGCCGCGCACTGAGGTCCGCGCAGAGGTGATGGGATGGTGCAACTTGTGCGTAATGTCTGTCCACGCGAGCAAATGTGTCTATAGGATTCAGGGAGGTCCATGGCGAACCTGTGCACTTGTTTACAGTGTTTTCCGTTGCGTATGATGGAGCGTGTCCCTGTCGACGCCGCCAGATTCGTGCTCCGCCAATTGCTGATTCCGATAAAGGAGACCAACTGCTGGAAAACGTCTGATACGAACGATATGGTAGTCCTGTCGTTTGTCGAAAAAAAACAGGTTGGCTCAGCGCCAAGCGCGATCGCGGACACGCCCCATCATCCGCAGCGAACCAGAGTATGAGTTGTACTGTTTAGTCACTTACGAGATGATGTCGACTTATTAATATTTCCAGTTATTTCGGATTAGTTTGATGAATGAAAGTTTTGTACTATTTTTTTTTTACATATCCGAGTTCTCTACAAAGCAAGTTTCGCTGTACAGGACTCAGCACACTGACAATTTGCGCTGCTCGTTACTGGCTACCGCACTCATTACGACCCCCCTCTCCTGGCGGCCAAATACGACCCCCTGTTGGGGATTCCCCAACCAATCTGGCCCTCGTCGTCATCTTCGGTTCTTATTTTGCAGCACCTAAAGTTATCCGCATCAGGAAATTGCGTTTTACTTGTATTCCAAAGCGCAATTACAGGACTTGGCAAAAAGCCAAGAGAGCCGCGCGCGACACGCGCCGCGCGGACGGCTGTAGCATAAAGGGGTTTGCCGCAAGTTGCATTTCGAGCATGAAAATAAAAACGGTCTAAGGGTCGCACTGGTTAGTTTAAAGTATTTCTATGGTTTTGGAGCCGAATTCGCGCCGGATCTTAGAAATTTACACGCGATTTTAATTAATTTGCGTTTCCTTAATTTTTTCATTTTGTTTTATTTACATCTACATTCGTTGTTCTTCATTTCTAGCCTTTGTCATCTTCATCACCTTCTATTCGGACTTTGAAGCATGAGCAATACCTCAAATGTTAGGAAATTGCGTTTTGCTTGTATTGTCATGTTTTATTGTCATGTTGTCCGTTTTTATTGTCATGTTCTGTGGGAATGCGCGGCCTCTGAGGGATATTGCAGAAGCAGCACAGTTGCTCTTGAGTTCTAGCCCTCGTCATCATCTTCGGTTCTTATTTTGCAGCACCTAAAATGTTATCCGCATAAAGAAATTGCGTTGTACTTGTATTCCAAAGCGCAATTACAGGACTTGGCAAAAAGCCAAGAGAGCTGCGCGCGACACGCGCCGCGCGGACGGCTGTAGCATAAAGGGGTTTGCCGCAAGCTGCATTTCGAGCATGAAAATAAAAACGGTCTAAGGGTAGCATTGGTTGGTTTAAAGTATTTCTATGGTTTTGGAGCCGAAATTCGCGCCGGATCTTAGAAATTTACACGCGATTTTAATTAATTTGCGTTTCCTTAATTTTTTCATATTTGTTTTATTTACATCTACATTCGTTGTTCTTCATTTCTAGCCTTTGTCATCTTCATCACCTTCTATTCGGACTTTGAAGCATGAGCAACACCTCAAATGTTATCCGCATCAGGAAATTGCGTTTTGCTTGTATTAAACTAACGAGTGGAACACTTAGGCTTTTTATTGTCATGTTTTGTGGTAATGCGCGGCCTCTGAGGGATATTGCAGAAGCAGCACAGTTCTTGAGTTCTAGCCCTCGTCATCATCTTCGGTTCTTATTTTGCAGCACCTAAAATGTTATCCGCATCAGGAAATTGCGTTTTACTTGTATTCCAAAGCGCAATTACAGGACTTGGCAAAAAGCCAAGAGAGCCGCGCGCGACACGCGCCGCGCGGACGGCTGTTAGCATAAAGGAGTTTGCGCCGCAAGTTGCATTTTGGGCGGTGTAGCAAGGAATTAGACTTTCCCACGGCCCCGTACTCTGACCCCGTGCAGTTTCGGGCGGGGAAACCACGACACATCGACAGCTGGGGGGCTGATAGTCTCATACACCCTCAATGTGTTTGAGCGTACCATGTGTCTTTAACTAAATTATATGATGCACTACAGTAAGCACCGCTTCACAATTGGGAAAATAGTGATAGTGACCGCCATAAAAACACTGAAAGTGTCAGCAGGAAGTACTTTCGGGATAAATTGCTATCTGGCGACCTCACTTGGAGACACACCATTGTTCAGCTACCTGAATTAATCGTACTCGAAATGGCAAGCTCAACAAGTCCGTAATCCAAATCTTCTTCAACTTGTTCTTGGATATCTCACCATTGACATTGAGTAACTCCGGTGGGTGTGTGTTTAACATCTTAACCACACGATAAGAAAGTTTCAAACATAGAATAGCACTAGAACGCATCTTCTTTTTAATTTTTCCCTAGCCCAGTTCTTCTTGTTCTTTCATCACAGAGCCATCACAAAACGCTGGGTACTTGCTAGGTTTCAGGATTATTTCCCTTTTCATGTTCACATCGTGAATTCACTTACCAACCTTCCAGTTGAATGCTCCGTAATATTAACCATTTCAGGTGATCTTTGTACTTTGATACACCATGAGATTTTGTTCCTGAAAAGTTTCTGAGGCATACCAGTTGCGTGAAGGTTTGCTGCACTTCATCCACCTTGATTGTAGCTCTTTTCAGGGCGCAACCCTAAACCTGACAGCAGCATTTCAGCTGCTGTGGTACATAAGCATCGTACTAATGGATCAGCGTTTCGAGTTCGCTGTCACCAAAAACCATGAAAATTGCTAAAAAAAACCAGCGAATGTCAACTGTCTGCTGACTTGGTGAAGGTATCGAGTCCGACTGCATCAGGGCTCCGACATGTTTGGACCGACTATACCATTCTAGGAGAGCATCACTGATTCCATAGTCCTGCGAAATATCTCCCACTGGATACAAAAAAAATTTGTAACAGTTGATCGACAAAGTACACAAGACAGCCCACACCTGCTATTTTCGAAGGAGATAGCCTGTAATCTGCATGCACGTCATTCTTGTTGTCATCATCGACACAGCATATATTTTTATGGCATCAGCGTATATTTGAATTTTTATCTTGTAGGCATTACGAATACAAGAGGGGGATTCTTATCTATATATCAAGAACAGCGATTTTAATTAAATCTTCCTCGAGAGGAACCAAGTAATGCATGACAAGTAAGAGAAGCTATGATGGATTTTGGGTAGTTCATCCATCAGTCAGAGTAGGTTTCAGTCAGTCTAGAAGCTGTTCCGATTCCTCGAAATAGTGAAACTTCAAAATTGACCACCCATCTTCTGTGGCGGACACTATCTAGTGCTTTCGCCAAGTCAACGAAGGCCATTCAGCAAAGTTTCCATTGTTCAGAGCATACTGCCAGTCTAACAAACAATATAGTGGATCGGACATCGTAAAGATCCCACTTAGAAAGTCCTGCTGGTCTATTGGAAATGTGCAAGTGCTTTCCAGGGTGAAACCTTACCTCGATAAGACATTGCAGCAGCTTGCCAGTGCAATGGCAATTGGGGACATAGGAAAGTCCAAAAAGTTGGGAATCTTCGGGATGAACGTAACTAAAGCTTCTTCTCGTAAATTTGGCGTTTCCTTGAGCAGCATAGAAGGTGAAGATATGCATTGACGGTTGGTGCAAGGACGGTGTGCACTTTTTTATAGAATCTGTTGATCCTATCATAGGTGAACGACGGGGAATGTTCAATATGCTTCTGCATCTTCTATACACTCCCTGTAAATCCTTGCCAGAAATCATTGAGTCAAATAGCCCCGCGTTAGATTTTTTGTTCGATATAGCAAGAGGGATGTTTCAAATCAGGCTTTCTCATAAGACGATGTTCACGATTGGCAGAACCTTCCTTAAATAGCCATCAACGTGCTATCCAGTGAAGATGATCTTCTGAATAGTGATAAACAAAGAAGAGCATTTATCCGTTCTCAGAGATTGACTCCTTATGAACGAGATTTCCCTCTGACTGAATTGAGAAAACTCGCATGACAAAAGGCAATGTATGATTGCTCACGAATCTCTTAAAAACTTCATTAGCTTACATAAAGTGTTTAGACACGCAAAGTGAGATCATGTACAAAAAATGACTATTCCGTACATTATATTTTGAAAAGCTGAAATTTGGAAAAAGTAGAAGTGCAGCTAGCGTAGAATCATTTCAGAGAACTCTGAACGAAACTATTACATGATCAGACGGAGGGAAAGAGAGATGCT